TCGTGATACCATAAAAGTCCTAGAGTAAAACATAGGCAGAAAAATTTCAGATGTCCCATGTAGCAATATTTTTTGCCGATGTATCTCCTAGGACAGGGAAATAAAGGAAAAAAAGTAAACAAATGTGACTACATCACATTAAAAAGCTTCTGTAGGGCTAAAGAAACCATCAGCAAAATGAAGAGGGAACTAACCATATGGGAGAACGTTTGCCAATGATATATCAGATAAGGGTTTAATCTCCAAAATATATAAAGAACTCATACAGCTCAATGCCAGGAAGACAAACAATCCAATTAAAATATGGGAGAAGGGCCCTGGCTGGTGTGGTGGTGTGAATGCTGGCCTGTGAACCGAAAGGTTTCTGGTTCAATTCCCAGGCAGGGTGGCTGCCTGGGTTGCAGACCAGGTCCCCAGTTGGGGGCATGCAAGAGGCCACTGATCGATGTATCTGTCGCACGTTGATATTCCTCTCCCTCTCTTTCTCCTTCCCTTCTCCTCCCTCTAAAAATAAGTAAAAATAAAATATTTAAAAAATGGGAGAACAACCTGAAAAGACATTTCTCTGAGGAGGACATACAAATGGCCCATAGATATATGAAAAAAATGTTCAACATCACTAGCCACTAGAGAGATGCAAATTAAAACCACAATGAGATATCACCTTACACCTGTCAGAATGGCTATCATTAATAAGGGAAAAGGAAACCATAGTGCACTGCTGGTGGGAGTGCAGACTGGTGCAGCCACTGTAGAAAACAGTATGGAATTTCCTCAGAAAATTAAAAATGGAACTGCCTTTTGACCCAGCAATTCCACTGCTGGGAATATACCCTAGGAATCCCAAAACACCAATTCAGAAGAACCTGTGCACCCCTATGTTCATAGCCATGTTATTTACAATAGCTAAGTGCTGGAAACAGCCTAAGTGCCCATCAGTGCATGAGTGGATCAAAAACGGTGGCACATTTACACAATGGAATACTACGCAGCAGAAAGAAAGAAGGTACTCCTACCTTTTGTGTCAGCATGAATGGACTGGAGAATATTATGCTAAATGATATGTGCCAGTCGGTGAAAGACAAATACAATATGACCTCGCTTATAAGAGGAATCTAAGAACAAAATAAACTAACAAGCAAAATAGACCCAGAAACACAGAAACATGGAACAGACTGACAGCAGTCAGAGGAGAGTAGGTGGGGGATAATGGTGGAAAGAAGGGGAAGGGACTAGTCAATAAATACGTATGAATGACCCATGGATGTGGACAACAGTGTGGGGCTGACTGCAGGAATATTGGGAGGGCTGGGCCGGAGGAGGGCAAAGGGGGGAAAATTTGGACAACTGTAACAAAGTAACAATAAAAAAATAAATAAAAATTAATAGCAAAAATAATCAACATTATTTGAATATTTTGACTTGTCATCAGTGATCATATTATAGCTTCACATACAAAACTATTTTGAAAAACATCTTTGTGAACTTTTCTACTTTTCTTAATATTGGGTTGGCCAAAAAAGTTCGTTTGGTTTTTTTCTGTAAGATGGCTCTGGTAGCACTTAGTTGTCTAACTTCATTCAAAACAATTTTGTTAGATTGTATTGTGACAGCTGTCATCTCAGCATGCTTTAAAAAAAAAAACTTTGCAAAATTGGTGAATTTTTGTGTAGCCATTTAATATTGAAGATGGAAGAAAATATGCAACATTTTTGGCATATTATGCTTTATTATTTCAAGATAGGTAAAAAAAAAACCAACTGAAACTCAAAAAAAGATTTGGGCAGTGTATGGAGAAGGTGCTGTGAGTGATCGAACGTGTCAAAAGTGGTTTGTTACGTTCCGTGCTGGAGATTTCTTGCTGGGCAATGCCCCATGGTCAGGTAGACCAGTTGAAGTTGACAACAATCAAATCAAGACATTAATGGAGAACAATCAATATTATATTATGCAGGAGATAGCTGACATGCTCAAAATACCTAAATCAATAAAGTTATTGGAGAAGATGAAAATGTCTTTTATTTTACAGAAGAAACCATACGGACTTTTTGGCCAACCCAATGTTAGTCAAATACATTTTTCACAATGACTGTCTCTATGTATTTTATATTATTGTTGCCATTTGGAATAGAATTCTTAAAAACTATATTTTTATTACTGGCATATAAGAATATTATTGAATTTTGCATGTTTATTTGGATCAGCCACTTTGCTGAGGTCTATTTAATTTGTGTTGTTAGATGACTTTGGGTTATTGAGGTTACACAGCCATATCATATGCACATAGTAATCATTTTTGCCTGTTTCCAATGTTTGTGTTTTCTATTTCTTTGGCCAGAACTTCTAAGACCATATTCAGGGATGCTGGTAATGGAAGGCATCCTTTTCTGTTCCTTGTTTTAAAGGGACAGCTTTTGATGTTTTCTTCGATGTTGCTCCTAGTTTGTAGATCTGCCTTTTCCATCTAATGGGCTGATATGATTTACGACAACCACATCAAAGAACTCTTTGGAGCCAGCTGTGCTTCTGGCATAAAGCACTAGGGGACTCATTGTTTGGAAGTGTTTGTTCTTTGTAGAATCTCCAGCCTGCCGCAAACTTTGAGCCCACAGAGCTGGTCCAGTTCCAGCGCTGATCCCTACTGAGAGATCCCTACTGAGCCTGTCTTCCTGGGAATAGTTCCCCCATGCTGACGTCACTCTCTCTTCTGCCAGCCCCACCTGCTGATAGAAATTCCAGTGGTGCTTGGCACCACGCAGCAGCAAGGCTGGGCTCACCTGGCACAACCCTGGACCTGAGGAGGCAGTAAGACACTTCTTCATAGGATGCCCTCCCAAGGACCTCTGTGGACCCTACATCATCTGGACTTTTGTGTATATCCCACCTGTCCCCTTTCTTTCCTCATCAGCTCAGGGAGGTCACCAATTCCCCTGCCCTGTCTGAGCCTGCTAGACCTCTGCTGGCACTGTGCTCTGGGGTCTTTCCAGTCCAGTGGGAAAGCAGAAGCAAACAGGGGTTAATACAGTACAGGATGAGGAGGTTTCATTCTCACTATATGAGACTAAGGGGCTGGAGCAACTACCTGCTTATGGCAGTAAGAGAAGGCTTCTTGGAGGAGGTGACATTTGGTCTGGTCTTGGAGCAAGAGTAGAGATATTATGAGGCAGATGAGGGAGTATGGCTTCTATTCTGACTGTTTCTCTACTCTTTGCATTATTGTTGACATTCAGAATATGATCTTTGTAAACTATCTTTTTTTTTTTTTTTTTTTACTGGCATATAGGAATATTATTGATTTCTGTATATTTAATTTGGAACAGTCTTCAAAGGCTTAGGAGCCTGGGGGAAGCCTGGCCTCTGGGGAAAACACAGGAGTTTGCTGAGAGAGATGAGGCAGTGCTATCTGAGTTGGTGAGTGCTCCTGGGGTTCAGGGGTTGGGGGGCTGGCAATCACTTAGGGAAGAGAGAAACAACTTCTATAGCATCACCGCTACATTCCTGCCAGGCACTTTGTTCATACATTTAGTACTTTTAGTACATTTTAATACATTCTCTTTTCCTGACAGCCCTACTAGGTTGATAACGATACACCCATTTTACAGATGAAGAAACTGAGGTTCAAAGAAGTTGCATGACTTAGATGAGCCCTATCTCTTAGCCTTTGTGCTTTCAGTGTTTCCCTACTGCTGCTGTATAAAACAACTTTATTTAGATATAATTCACGTACCCTACAACTCATCCATTTAAAGTATACAATTTATTGGTTTTAGTATATTCATAGAGTTGTGCAACTATGACCACAAAGTTTAGAACATCTGCATTACCCCTGCAAAGAAACCTTCACCCCTTAGTCTCCATCCCACAATCCTCCCATGCCCCCTGCCTTAGGTAACCATGGAGCTACTTTCCACCTCTATATCTTTGCCTCTTCTGGGCATTTAATATAAACAGCCTCATACAATATGTCATCCTTTGTGACTGGCCTATTTCACTTAGCATAACGTTTTCAAGGTCCTTCAATGTTGTAGCATATATTGGTATGACATTTCTTTTTTCTTTTTTCTTTTTTTTTTGCTAGACATATTCCTTTAACGGAGATACCACATTTTGCTTGTCCATTCAGCAGTTGAGTAGCATTTAGGTTGTTCCCATGTTTTGGCTGTTATGAATAATGCTGCCATGAGCATCCATGTGTAATAGGTTTTTGTGTGGACACATGGTTTTATTCTCTTGGGTATATACTAAGAGTGGAATTGCTGGTTGCATGATTTTTTTAAAAAATCCTTATTTCTTGATTTTTAGAGAGAGGAAGGAAGTGGGGGAGGGGAGCCATCAATTTGTTGTTCTATTATTTATGCATTCATGGGTTGATTTCTGTGTGCACTCTGACCAGGGATTGAACCTGCATCCTTGGCACATCAGGATGGTGCTCTAACCAACTGAGCTACCCAGCCAGGGCCATATGGTAATTTTTGAGGAACTGCCGGATGAGGCTCCACAGCAGCTTCTTCGCTGCCTCTAGTACAAGGCTTACTTATCTTCAGAGTGACAGGACTGGGGAGAAGGTCAGTCTACAGAGTCTGTGTGAACTCTCTGTTTTCTAAGATGTGGACTACTGTACAGTAGTCAGAGGACTTGCAGCTTCACTAAAGGAGACTTTGATGATTCCACAGGGACTGGTGTAGTTTGCAGGGCCTCAAGGACATTGCCATGGATGCTGGTTGTCACTGTGCTGGCTGAGCTCTGCCTTCCACATTCTGACTAGTAGGCTGTGGTAATAGAGAAGGTGCTGGAATAAACCCTAAGGTTCAGGGTACGAGGTAGGGACAAGTGTGGTAAAGAGTGATAAAGGCTCTCGGAAGAGGGAGGGCAGGGTTTCAAGCCTAGCACAGCGGGGACAAGTGGGAGAGCAGGGAGGCTGGGAGGGGAGACTGGGTCTGGTCAAGTCCTTGGGCTGCTGTGGCTGCCAACTCTGGTCTGTCTTTCTTCTTTGGCTGCAGATCTGGCCGAGTGCAAGCTGGTTTCTTTCCCCATCGGCATCTACAAGGTGTTGCGGAATGTCACTGACCAGATCCAACTCATTACGCTGGCCAACAACGAGCTCAAGTCCCTCACCAGCAAGTTCATGACCACATTCTGTCAGCTCCGAGGTAGGCCCTGGTCAGCTCAGGCCGGGGGCACACGGCTAGCCCTTATATTCGGGCTCTGACCCTGTTGAGAGTATAACTAGGACCAGTCCTGTCAGCTGGACCTGGGAAGTCACTCCTGGGGGTGGGGGAGGCTTTGAGAATGGACCCAGGTCCTTCTTGAAGCCTGGGAATCTCTGTGTCACTTCTGCCTAGATGGCTGTGAATCAGCCTGGCTAAGGGCCCAGGGTGTGGCTCCTGGAGTGATTTCTCTTATTCTGAACAGACCAGCGGGGTGTTTGGGGTCCTCAGGTCCTGGAGTAGTATTTCTTGGTAGACTTGAAGAAGCCCCCTTCCGCCCCCCAGTCTGGCGTTGTTCTCCTGTGCTGCTCTCTCAGCTCGGGAGTGACAGGTTCCAGGAGTGTTGGTGTTTCTTTCCTCTGCTGGGCACACAGAGAGCAAGTGGACAGGGGCGCTTGGCAGGGAGATGGGCTGGAAGCCAGCAGGTGGGCATTGCAGACCCTGTTGAAATGGCTCCTCTGGTTGGACAAGCAGGGCGCAAAGGACACTCCAGTGCCTGTTCCCCTCTCTGCACAGCAGTCCCTCCATTGTCACTCAGTTACCCACGGGGGAGCTGGGACCTGGGCAGTTGGCATGTGTTTGCGAAATGGCGGAGCAGGAGAGTTGGGGAGAGCACAGGAGGCGTAGCCTTCCTTCCTTCTAGAATCCTCTATCTGATAGAGTCATGAAAAGGGTCTAAGAGCCTGTTTGGAGAAACCAGGATGTAGAATGCTGATGGAACAGGAGCAGCACAAGCGAGCATAGCTCACACAGCTGATGTCAGGCTCCCTACAGGCGCTTCGGGCATTGGGCAGCGCCCAGGGGAGAGGGAGGTGTGAATCGGCAGCCAGTGACTCAGGAGGGAGCTACAGGCAGGACCTGGAAAGACCACCAGCTAGGTACAAACACAAGGGCAAGGAAGAGGAATTGGCCTGTGTAGAAAGCTTATATTGTTACATAATACGAAAGCCATAAAACACTAGATGTAGCCCAAGGGCCACCAGTTGGGAGAATCTCCCATAAAATATTAGAGCTGTCTCTGTTACCTCATTTCAGGGGTGGAGAAGGAAGGGCCGGGACAGAAGGGGCTTCTCCGGGGTCTCAGAGCAACACCTCGGTTGCCCACCTTCCAGGGCAGGGCCACCTTTCCAGCCCACGGGCATTAGCTCGAGGGTCCCCCAGAGCTGTATGCTGCCAAGTGGGATTGGATGCTGCTTTCCAGAGGAGGATGGAAAGATAAAAATGGGTGGTGGGGGTTGGCTGGAGCCTGTCGGAGGGGCACCGTCAGGCAGGGGCGCTTCCTGTGAGTAAGAGGAGTGCAGCCATGCTTTTCTTCATTCCCTGACCCTTGAGCACCTCCTGTGGCCCAGACCTCTGCCCGGAGGCTCAGAAACAAAGGCCTCTAGACCAGGTCTCTCCCTGAAGGAATCCAGGGTGCAGAACAGGCTCGTCAACAATACTGAGTGCTGTGATGCCGGTGCGGCCAAAGCGCGCTGGGACTGCTGGGAAAAGGAACGAATTCTTCCCTTCCCGAGAGTGGAGAGCGACGTGGGCAATGGGGTGGGCGTGGAAGCAGAGCCTTTCAGAGGATTTGACATTTGGCAGCGCCTTGAGGGATGAGTGAGCAGGCCCTCCCCAGGAGGACCGCAGTGAGTGCCAGAGCAATGTGCTCAGAGCCCTGTGCACTCGCCCCCGGACCTGGGAACATACACGTCATCATGTCCTCTCGGTCAGAGGTCCGTGGAAGGATAGAGTTTGAACTCCCGCTGTCCGTGCCTTGGCTTACCAAGGGAAGGCTGCCCGTGCCCAGCCGGGAGGGGCTGGAGCTGAGGACCAACCTGGCAGCCACACAGACAGCTCTGGGCCCCAGCCTTTGTCATGGTTTCTCTTTCAAATAGAAACACCCTCACCTTTTATGTGTGAAGAGGAGGCTTAAGTAGGGTTTGCTGGGCTCCTCACAGCCGGCCAGTGTCCGTTTCTGGGTTCTGGCGGAGGAGGGGGGCTACTCTGGTGTTGGGAGAGAGCCATCTGCAACTCCTTGCCTGCCAGGTTGTCACCTGTCAGTGTCCTGGGGACTGTCATCTGCTAGGCCCATGGTCCCCTCTGAGCAGGGTCATCTTTAAATGATTGCCTCTCCTTGATGTCCTTCACCCATTTCATGGCAGGAAAAAGCAAGACCTGGGAAGGACAACGGGACAATGAAATCAGTCCAAAGGGCAAGTGGGCCCCAGGATCCAGCTCTGGCTCTTTTGTCCGCTCTTTTCCTGGGCTCCCCTCTCCTCACCTCTTCATGCAAGTCACTCAGCTCTTCTGACTGAGTGCGTCCTGGGCCTGCCAGGCCAGACGTGTGTGAGGTACACCTGCAGAAATGAACAAGGCCACCCGAATGAGAACTGGCAGGGCTGCTTTTACAGGGCCTGCCCTAGCAAGGGAGTCAGCCTCTGTCCTCGGATTTGGCAGAGACTCAGAGGCAGGCAGAGGAGGGGGAAGGCTTTACCATGGACAAAAGGGAAGCCTTCAGGCAAGCCCTGATTGGAGGCTATTGGCCGGGGAAGCGGGAGGCAGGCCAGCTACCAGTGGGGCATCCTGTGTGATTGGCATTTGGCTTTCTCTGGTTGGTGCTGAGTTGGACGTGGGGACAAAAATTAAGGACACTGTCAGTAATCAATTCCTGGCCATTTGGGGCCAATTGTTGCAGAGAGTATTGTTTGGCTTCCTGGATTGTTGACAGAGAAGCCGTCTGACTTCCTATAAGTCCGACTTACAGCAGACTAACTTCCTGACCTGGTTACTGTACAGATGGGTTGTTTCCTGGGCAAGTTGCTGCAGGTTGTGGGTCACAGTTCTATTTTTATAGTTGCGCTGGCTGTTGTCTGTGTGTATGTTCAGTGTCTCACAGACTGCCTTTCAACGCACTGCAGCAGTTCCTCGTGAGCACCTGTTCTGGGCCCGGCCCTGGGCATGAACAGGTGAGTAATAACAGGGGAGCCCAAATTCACCAGGTGCTTAACCCTCGGGGCTCCATGCTGAGGCTTTTACATGCATCACCTCATTCAGTCCTCACAGCACCCGATATTTGGGAAGGATAACAAAACTAAGACCTAGACCTGGCCCTTGGGGAGCTCCCGGTCTCTCAGGGGAGCCAGGTTTGCTTCAGCCCCTGGGGTACTTTTCTTTCAGTGATGGCCCTTAGCAGGTGAAGGAGGAGGGAAGAGGGGGTACAGTGCCAGGGACATGGAGCAGACACTGAAGCTTTGCAGCGGTCTGTTTTGGTGTGGGATCAGGCAGATCTACTCTGATGGGCACACATTTTCTGGTTCCCTCAGCACAGCCGTTGCTGAAACAGTGGGTCTGGGAGGGTCCATCACAGCTGAGTTACCCACAAGGAAGCTCCCAGTTGCTGATGACCGAGAGTTCCTGCCTGATGCCGAGGCGGTGCTAAGGCTGTGGCCTGCTGCGTCAGTTTTTCCGTCAGGTCTCAGGAGCATCTGGCCCCTAGGGTTAGCTGGCTGACTTCAGGGGGGAAAAGGCCGGCTGTCCGTGACCCCTGCACGTACGCCTACAGAATTAAAGGAATCCAAGTGCCGTGGCCTCCGGCATACTTTGGATAGAATCCCAGAGGTGGGACTACCAAGGCCAGCGGGTGAGAGCGTTTTAAGGCGGTTGATCTACACCATGAAGTTGTCAAGCACTGATGTCTCCCTGAGCCCGGGGCCCATCAGGAGGTGAAAAGCAACCTCTCTGTGGTCAGGCTGGACCAGGACCCACAAGATGAGAGGCCGGGTCGTTCGGTGTTTAAAGCCCAGACACCGAGGTTGAGCCCAGTTCTGGATTGTGACATCTTCCCCTTCCCCTGCAGATCCGAGCTCCCTGCCGATTTTAGCTCTGTGGTTAGGTGCAGCCATCAGAGGGCCCGAGCCGATCGGAGGAAGAGAGGAGAGGATGGTCAGTGAGCTTGTTCTCCTGGCCACCTCCCTGTGAGGTCCGCCTCAGGCTGGCTGTGCCCTTAGTCTGCAGGTCACTTTTCTCAAGGCAGCTTCAACACAGCTCTCTCTTTCTGGGTGGTGACAGCTCCCTGCTTTTCACCCTGGGTTACTGCATGATCCCTTGAAGTTCCCCTGTAGCCTCCCACATCTTTGGAAATACTTTTTTACAAATAAACCCTCCTGGAGTTAGTTTGAGCTGCAGCTCTTCCTCTTGGGGGCCCTGACTGATACTCTGCAATTTATTAGTTCCATACCCACAGGCAGATTATTTAACTGCTGTGTACTTCACTTTCCCCCTTGGTACGATAGAATAATACTGGTAATAGTCTACCCCATAGGGCTCTTGTGAAGACTGACTATGTTAACCCAGGCACAGCCTGAGAGCAGCTGCCTTCCCCACGCTCTCCAGCATAGTACCTGGCACATAGTGGGTGTTCCCAGCTGAAGGGCTGAATGAATGACTTCCTACCATGCAGTCAGCAGAGGAAGGACCCTACCAAAGATGTACACATCCTAATTCTTGGAACCTGTGACTGTGTTACCTCACATGGTAAGAAAGACTTTGCCGGTGTGATTAACTTAAGGACCTTGAAACCAGGAGATATCCCGGATTGAGTGCATGGGGCCAGTGTAAATATGACGGTCCTTGTAAGGAGTCAGGAGGGACGGAGTCAGAGAAGCGGATGTCATGACTGCAGCAGAGACTGGAATGATGAGGCTCCAAACCTATAGAGGCTAGAAAAGTCAAGGAACAGATTCTCCCCTAGAACCCTCAGAAGGTCCAACTCTGCTGACTTGATTTGACCTCCATAACAATAAGATGGTAACTTTGTATTGTTTTAAGCGTCCAAGTTTGTAGTGATTTTTTTTTACAGCAGCAATAGGAAACATACACACCAGATGGGTCCAGAGCCTCCTCCTGCCTTGGTCTCCCCACTTGCTTGCTTGCCCTCCCACCTCATCTCACTCTGGAGCTGG